GCTACCACGCCCGGCTGATTTTTTGATTTATTGTAGGGATGAGGTCTCGCTGCCCAGGCGGGTCTCGAACCCGCGGGCTCAGGCAATCCACTCACCTCAGCCTCCCAAAGCACGGGATTACAGACTGAGCCACCGAGCCCGGCTTCATGATTCTTTTATAATCGTGTAGAACTTGCAGTTTATAACGTTGCGTACTTTGCAGCCATTGTTTCTTTCTTTTTTTTTTTTTTTTTTTTTTGAGTCAGAGGTCTCACTGTGTCGCCCAAGCTGGAGAACAGTAGCAGAATCATGGCTACTGCAGCCGTGACCTCCTGGGCTCTGGAGATCCTCCCACCTCAGCCTCCTACGTAGCTGGGACTACAGGTGCATGTCAGATTTTTTGACTTTTTTTTTTGTAGAGACAAGTTCTCGCTAGGTTGCCTAGGCTAGTCTTGAACTCCTGGGCTCAAGTGACCCTCCCAAAGTGATGGGATGACAGACATGAGTCACCGCAGCCAGCCGGGACACACAGTTTTCAGTTTGAGTCTCTTTCTGGCTGGAAAGAGGGTTTTGTGGGGCCAGGGACCTTGCCCGCTCCATGGCCAGGGGGTACCTGCTTAATGGAGTCAGGCAGAATCACAGAGGAGGGGAAAGAACCAGGCATGGGGTGAGAGAGGCGTCGTCCTCGTTCCTGTTCACTCTGTAGCCTGTGCAAGCCTCTCCTCTGAGCATCTGTCTTCTCACTGTAAACCTGAGATCACGTCTCTGACAGTGACAGTGACAGGCCCCTTCGCGTGCATTGTCCCACCCAGCTCTCGTGCACCCCTGAGGGAACACTGGTGTTATCTTTCTTTGGAGTCGGGGTCTCACTCTGTCACCCAGGCTGGAGTGCAGTGGCACGCTCTCAGCCACCGCAGCCTTGACCTGCTGGACGCAGGTGACCCTTCCACTTCAGCCTTCCAAGTCGCTGGAACTACAAAAGAACTCCTGAGAGGTCTCAGCCCCAGAACTGGCTCATATCTGTAGGGTGGGGGCAGGACCATCATTTTCTGACAAAGGCTGGACTAGGACATCTGAAACAGGCATTATGACAGTGCTAGAAAGACCACAGCACAAAGGACTGAGAGACCTCAGCCTGCATCTTGGCTCCTGATGGAAGGACTTTGGGCCCAGCCACTGCTGTTGCCCTTGACCCAGAATCTTCCTCTCTGGGCATCAGCGTGCTGCTGATCAGGGGAACTGTGCCATTTGCTCCCTAAAGCATGGGGCCGTGGGAAGACCACTGCTTCAGAGGCCACAGACGTGGCTCTGGGTCCAGACCTTGGCCTGCTGTGAGTCCCCATGTGAGGTTTGGCCAGGCGCCCTCTCTCTTCATGCATAAGTTGGGAATGGAAAATGAGGGTCAGGTGAGGATCAGGCCAGCAGACGTGCTTAGGGCACCTGGCTCGTGGTCCTCTTGGACCCCTACTCTGGCAATCTTGAGGCTTGGTGATGGCTGTCATGAGGGATCTCCACTCTGCTTTTCCCCCTTCAGCAACAGCATCAAAGGACCTCGGCTAAACCATCTCCAGCCCCCAACCCTGGCCTCTTCCTCCCCTGCCAGAGAATATTTCATGTGCTTGTGAAAACACCTGAGGTTCTGAGAGGCCCTGCCCTGAAAAGGAAGTGGGGAGGGACGCAGAGCACCACATTTTTTTTTTTTTGGGTCCACTGCAGCATCGAAGCACGCAACATTTTAAGTGCTTTGCTTTTCTCTCACGGACTCTGCTTCCCCGTCTCTTGGGACCCTGCTGATTTCTGCTTTTTCTCTCAGCCTCCTCAAGTCTCTGGGATACAGCGACCCCCTCCACTGTCCAAATCCAAGGCAAAGACCTTGCCACCAGAGTTCACCAAGGACAGCTCAAACGCATACAGCAAGATTTCTGCCCACAAGAAGTCTAAGCCCAAAACACAGGATTCAGGTGAGTCCCATGGGCCCCGGTTCACCCGTGTCCCTGTGTCTCCCCTGCCACCTCCTGCCCTTGCTGCTTCCTTTTCCTCTGAAGGCCCAGTCTGTGGGCAGACTCCTCTGTGGCCCCAGTGTGATGGACAGGCCCACGATGGGGGGCTCAGGTCGAAAGGTCCTCCGTCTCTCTCCCATGGGCTCCAGAGCCCTGGCAAGGAAGATGAGTTCGGTCCCCAGCACACTCTAGGACCATACAACGGCTGCAAAGTTTTGAGACAGGACAGCTTGTAGTTCGGGGGCCAGCAAGGGCCTTCGAGCAGCCAGACTTTCTCTGTATGTGAGGAAGCTGCCTGGGAAGGGAAGGAACTTGCCCAATGCCAAAGATCCTCATTGACTTGGACTCTTGCAGATGATGAACATGACTATGAAGAAGTCGTCGAGCGCTTTCAGAACATCATCTAGGTGCTGGAGGGACCGTGCCTCCCAGCCGCTGCTTCTCGGGCATCTGAACACTAGCCGGCCCTTCCACGCCTCTCAGAAACCGCAGGCCAGGTCTCACAGCGGTCAGACTGCAGATGGGAGAGCTCTGCAGGAGCTGATCTGAAATGGGGTGGATATTGCACCAGCTCCCTGCCACCAAGGCTGGCTGGTTTGGGCCCAGCACCTCACACAACTTCCTCAGCCTCAGAACTTGGGTATCTGGAGGAGCCAGCTAGGTTCTGCTCCATCCTGTGTCCCCACCAGTCGTCCCACTGGGCAGTGCAGAGAGGAATCAGAGGCTACCCACCTTGTTGATGGCAGCACAGTGCTGACTGCCATGCCCGGTTAATTTTTTGTTTTTTTGTGGAGATGGGGTCTTGCTATGTTGCCCAGGCTGGTCTTGAACCCCTGGGCTCGAGCGATCCTCCTGCCTCAGCCTCCCTAAGTGCTGAGATTACAGGTGTGACCACTGCACCCAGCCCTTTCTGAGAGATTTTTAACGTTTGCCAGCCCCTTGCCCTCCCTCCCGCCAGGCTCTGAACCCAAGAGACCAGGACTACGTCTTCTTCACCCATAGCACCTAGTGTGTGGCAAATCAGCATGTGGTAGATGGGGATTGTATGAATGAATGTAGGACCTTGGTTCCCAAAAGCTAGCGGTGAAACTAGAAGAGCCAACTTAAAACACCCTCATGGAGACCTGAGGCTGCAGGAAACTGGCAGGTTTCATCAGGTGGTGCTAAGATACTGTCAAAGTTGCAACCATCCAAGATCATTTTTCTGGAGCCACATAATAAAGATGACATCTGTACTTCTATATGAATGAGAAGATATGATTTATTAAGCTCTGTCTGTGCACTCACCGTATCCAAATCCTCAACTTTCTGAGCTAGACAGTGACCTGATTTGAGGTGAGGAAGCAGGCTGGGTGGCCAAGCACCTCAGGAGGCTGTGAGGCAGAGACTGGAAAGCAGGAGCCTGGGTCAGTTAGGGTACCAGCTCTCTCCCTTCCAGCTGGAACTTTAAGCAAGTGATTTTAACCCCTATGCTGCAGTTTCGTGACATCTTTCTATTTAGCACAGTGCCTGGCATATAGTAAGCACTCAATAAACACGTTAGTGTCATCACTCTTGACCAACATCATGAAGCTGTGTCTGTCTCCAAAGCCTGTACTGTTTCCACACCTCTACAATGTCTGCTAGGCATGGAACTCATCCAGGTTAAAAATACACCCTGTTCCTAAACTGTGGAGACTGACTGGCTGGAGGGCCTCCCTGTCTGCTTTAGGGGAGCTCAGGGAATACAGCCCTTATCCATGCAGCGACTCGCTTAGCCACCAGGGTCAGTCAGGCCTGTTCAGTGAGGCAAGAACACAGATCACGTTTTCTGTAAGTGGTGGGGCTTTGGTTTGTGGGCTGACACAGTCATGGTCAGCAGAGAAGACATGAAAAGATAATCTGAGTCTCCAGCTGAGGTGGTGCTGAAAGGGCATCAGATGGCCAGCTCCAGGCTTCTAGACATTGCGCCGGTGTGGCCTTCCTTTGTTGAACCTCTCCCTGGGCTGCCTGGACCCACTGTACTTCCAGGACTCTGGGCCTCCCGCTGCAACATGGGGTTCTCCTGACTGCTGGGCAGCTTCTACAGAAGCCGGTCCTGTCCACAGCATCTGGCTCCCCATCATGTCTGCCCACCAGTTCCAATGCCCTCCTCTAGAGACCAGCTACACTGCACAGGAGGACCCTAGGGCACAGAGCACTGTGGGGTGAAGCTGCGGGCAGGAAATGAGATGGGAGGGTCTCCTTGGCAGAAGCCCTGGGAACCAGACCTGTGTGCAGACTGACAGTGGTTTTTCACTTCCACATTTGCATTTAATCTTGGCACAAAACCGAGCAGAATGAGTAACAAAGCCACGGGGTGGGGGTGGGGGGTGGAGAAGGCAGAAGAGAGGGCTCCCAGTATCTGTAAAATGGGGGCTTTTAAAAGCCAAATGCCGCCGTAAGAAGCCATTCCACAGCAGCAAAAGCTGGGCTTGAAAGGAAAATCTGTTTGAAGACAATGACTATGACAGTTTTCTAGTAGTGCAGTGGGGGTTGTCATGGAATGGGCCAGAAGCCGTGCCAGCCTCAGGGTACTTTTCTTTACCCCTGGAGGAAGCTTCTGGGCAGTGGAGAGGATATTATAATGCACTTGAATTCCCACAGCAGTGGTCTCCAAAGGGAGGAGCACACGCCCCTGGAAGGGCACCAGTTGATCCACTGGGAACCAGAAAAGGTAATGAGGCCAGGCACGGTGGCTCATGCCTATAATCCTAACACTTTGGGAAGCTGAGGTGATAGGATTGCCTGTGCCCACAGGTTCGAGACCAGCCTGTCCAACATGGTGAGACCTCATCTCTACAATAAATAAAAAAATTAGCCAGGCATGGTGGTATGTGCCTGTAGTTCTAGCTACTTGGAAGGCTGAGATGGAAAGATTGTCTGAGGCCGGCAGGTCGAGGCTACAGTGGCCATGAGCATACCACTGCATTCCAGCCTAGGGGACAGAGTGAGACTTCAACTAAAAAAACAAAATAGAAAAACCAAGGTGAGGGGACTGCCTGTGTCCATGGGTTCAAGAACAGCTTGGGCAACTTGGCGAGATCTCATCTCTACAATAGATCAAAAAATTAGCCAGGTGTGGTAGCGCACGTCTGTAGTTCCAGCTACTTGGAAGGTTGAGGCAGAAGGATTGCCTGTGTCCAGTGGGTCCGTGACTAGCCTGGGCGATGGAGTTAGACTCCAACTCGGGGGAAAAAAACCTTGGGTCACACTGTCTCAACGAGCCAAGAGAACATTGTACATCTCACATCAAGTGACCAATGCCTAAGAAGCAAGTCCTCCTGCCTGAGCAGAGGACAGCTCTCCAAAGGCTAGAGCTCCATTCTGAGTGGCCCAGCAGACTCTCCTGCCTGAGTTCAGCCTGCAGGCCTCTGCAGCACTCAGAAATCTCACAACTGCTGAGACCCTGGAAATGCCAGGAGGGCAGGGAATTTAGTGTCACTGAACAGCTACTCTGTGTGCTACTGGGAATGCTGCACCAGCAAGTCCCGTGACATCAATCTCCTCCTGTGCTTTATACTCTTAGTACCCGACCAACCAGTCGATACAGTAGGTATCCATTAAACACTGAATTAGAAAGCAGTTTTTTTGGTTTTTTTTGAGTTGGAGTCCCACTCTGTTGCCTAGACTGGAGTGCGGTGGCAAGCTCACGGCCACCCCAGCGTTGACATGCTGGGCTCTGGTGATCCTTCCACCTCAGCCTTCCAAGTAGCCGGAACTACAGGTGTGTGCTATCATGCCTGGCTAAATTTTTTTTTTTTTTACTGTAGAGATGAGTTCTCACTATGTTGCCCAGGCTGGTCTTGAACCCGCGGACTCAGGCAATCTTCTCACCTCTGCCTCCCAAAGCGCTGAGATTACAGGCTTGAGCCACCATGCCCAGCTAGCAGGCAGTTTTAATCAGTTAATCACCTTCCAATTCTACCAAAAGGAAAAAAGCCACCTAGAACTACCACATTGCTTCACTCATGTGGAAGTACCAGCCTCATAACTAGAAAATGTCCACTGCCCACAAAAGCGTCCTATCTGCTAGGCACCGTGGCTCAGTCTATAATCCCAGCACTTAGGGAGGCCGAGGAGAGAGGATTGCCTAAGCCCGGGAGGTCAAGACCAGCCTGGGCAACTTAGTGAGAACTTGACTCTACAATAAATCACAAAAGCTAACTGGGTGTAGTAGCGTGTGTCTATAGCTCCAGCTACTTGGAAGGCTGAGGCAGAAGGATCGCCTAAGCCCAGCAGTTTGAGGCTGCAGTAGCCGTGAGCATGCCACTGCACTCTAGCCTGGGTGACAAGAGTGAGGCTCCAAATTAAAAAAAAAAAAAAAAAAAGTTGTTCTAGCGTTCATTCCAAATTCAAATATATATGAATTTTTACATGTTCTTAGCCACTATTTGTTCTTTCTTTGAGGAAATAACCAAGAATGGACACACTTGCAAATGAATGTGCTGGCTGATTGAGCCTGACGCATTTGTACAGCTCTCCAAATGGTGACAACTCTGCACAAATAGAAAGTATCAGCCAGGCTGGGTGTGGTGGCTTACACCTGGGTGTGGTGGCTTACACCTGTAATCCCACCGAGCCTGGCAATTAATTCTTTCACTCAAGATATAGTTTACTTTCTGGAGTTGTCAAAAACATCTTTCTTCTCCCATAAGAAACAACCGATCAAGTTGGTAAAAAAAAAAAAAAAGCCATAGGCTTTGGAAAGTCTCATCTTGGGGTCAAATGGCAGATACACATTTCAGTTACACGGTCATATGCTGCTAAAGATTCTGCACTGAGGTCCATCTATGACTGCTATTAATGGCACTACTAGATGAGATGCTTTACAACCTTTATTCAGCCGGGCTCGGTGGTTCAGCCTGTAATCCTGCACCTTTGGGAGGCTGAGGTGGGTGGATTGCCTGAGCCCGTGGGTTCGAGACCCGCCTGGGCAACTTGGCGAGACCTCATCTCTACAATAAATCAAAAATAAGCCGGGTGTGGTAGCGCACGCCTGTAGTTCCAGGTACTTGGAAGGCTGAGGCGGAAGGATCACCGGAGCCCAGCAGGTAGAGGCTGCGGTGGCTGGGAGCAGCCACTGCACTCCAGTCTGGGTGACAGAGTGAGACTCCAACTAAAAACAAAAAACAAAAAAACAAACAACTTTATTCAATCTTCATAACAAACCTATGAGGAAATAACATTGTTTTCTCTTCATAAATGAGGAAATGGAGGCTCTCAGAGCTGATATAGCCGCTCAAGATGCTAACCAAAAAGTGGGAGATGCAAGACTCAAATTCGAGTTTCACTACGCTACCCTGCCTCGGAAGATAAAAGAGCAATTACATCAGCTTAGGAAGAAAAACAAGAACATTTTCACAAGTTGCTACTATGGAATTGTTTTATTAAACATGAACATACTTACTTTGTACAAAATCAAGTAACACCTCCTCCTTTCCTCTGCCCCCGGAGGCCACCATCCAGAACCTCACGTTCATATAAACACGCTGTCATGACAAGCAGCAGTCATGACAAACAGGTGAAGGAAAGTGCAATTCTAAAGTAAATGCCACATGACCAAGTGGGAATGGCATGGGCAGAGGCCAGCGGTTCTTGGCAAGCACTCTGCCCACAGGCACGGGCCTTGCTCATCTCGCCGCAGGAAACATTTCAGGAATAGAAGCTCCAAGCACACTCTCTTGGTAGCATCTCTCTTCCAATCCCATCCATCCTGATGTTGTAACTAGCTTATTTGTAACTTCTCCAAGAAATTCTGCCCTGCTTACATCCCTGTGAATTGTTTATCACCCTTTGAACTTCAAAAAAACCCCAAAAACAAACGCAGAAGAGCAGTAAATGTCAAAAGGACGTCAGTTGAGACGTTTCATAGATGAAATCTACTTCCTAGAAGTCACCTGGCCAAACATCTGCACAGCTGGGGACATCAAGATTGTGAAGCCAGGTCCAGATGAAAAATATCTCAGGTACCCAATTAGATCCAGTTATTCTGCATCTGTGGATTTAAAATGATCATCATCCACAGTAGAATAGATGTGCCCCTCGTTGCTCAGAAAATCCACAGCTTGCCTAGAAAGAAAGGAGAAAAAAGGTCATTTCAAACCCATGCAGAAGGACACTACCTTTGGATGACCAAATATGTGAACCTTACTTTCATCCAAGCTTTTTCTTAAATAAGAAGAATTCACAACCATTTTGTGCACAGGGGGGGCTTCTCACAGGGAGAAACGACAGTAAAACTGCAAAACTGGGGTTATCTATGGGTACGATCGCTATTAGGGCTGCCTCGGATCCATCTCCCAAACTGTATAAAGGAAAGAAACCAGAGCCTCACTTATATACCAGTCTCAGCAAAGTAAAACAAGGATCTAAACTCACACAAAGTTTGCACATACAAGCTCCTAGATAAACAGTGGTCTTGAAAAGATTCCCCTTCCACCTATGTATTGAAACCCCTTGCTCCTCTCTCTGGGAAGCAAAGTTGTGGGAAGTAAAAAGATCATTCTAGAAACAGTATGACATCTTCGAACTCCCCAAGGTTCTTAGAGTCAGTGCCAGTAACATATTTTTTTTCTTTCTTTTTTTTTTTTTGAGTTGAAATCTCTCACACTGTTACCCAGGCTGGAGTGCAGTAGCATGCTCATGGCCACCCCAATGTCGACCTGCTAGGCTCCAGTGATCCTTATGCCTCAGCCTTCCAAGTAGCTGAAACTACAGGCGCACACTATCATGCCTGGCTGTTTGATTTATTATAGAGATGAGGTCTTGCCAAGTTATCCAGGCTGGTCTTGAACCCCTGGGCTCAGGGAATCCTCTAGCCTCAGACTTCCAAAGTGCTGGGATTACAGGCATAAGCCACAGCGCCCAGCCACCAGTAAGTACTTACTTACTTACTTATTTATTTTTAGAAAGGATTTATTGAGAGGACAGAAATGCTCCCACAGTGGGAGGGGACCCGAAGGGGTTGCCCCTGTAACATATTTAATAACAGCCTCAATCAACAGAGCACCAGTGACAGCAATTCTGTACCTCATCACAGCAACTCTGAGAGAGGAATTATTATCCTAATTTTACAGGACAGGAAATGGAGTTAGTTCTGAGCATTTCTTTTCTTTCTAGGCCTAGAATATTAATAGAGTATCAATTAATTTTTAGTAACAACTATCCCAAGTACCATGACACTCAGTTTGATTAGTTCACTGCACTGGAATCAGGAGACTGCTTGTCTAAGACAGAATCAGGGTAAGGGTGCTGGAAGGACTGATGGCTTCAGGTCCAGATAGCCTAATATGAGATCTGATAATTAAATTTGCGAACTCATCCTAGAAAAAGTGCTACATACCTCATTTCTGAACATCACTATGGTCACCTTCGAAGTACTCTCCTGGGGAAGCTATGCACTGACACCAGCACCTAGTCCACCCATCAGAGCAATTTTGGAACTTGCTTTTTCTGGAATGGTCAGAGTTGTCATCGTATTACCCTTGATGACCTGAATGTCATCAAAATGTCTTCCTTTCTATATTTCCTTTATCTTCATATAAAGAAAAAAGTCATTGGGGGCCGGATCAGGTGAGTAGGGAGGGTGTTCCAATGCAGTTATTTGTTTACTGGCTAAAAACTCTCTCACAGACAGTGCTGTGTGAGCTGGTGCATTGTCATGATGCAAGAGCTCCTTTGGGACCATTTCTGCACATATCTTTCTCATGCCAGGATTTTCCAAACTATTTCTCTATTGATGTTTATTTGGTTTGCTATGCTTCTCACAGTTAGCCAATGATTTTGATGCACAATTTGACAAATGTTTGCAATGTTTTCATCAGTTTTGCTTGTTACTGGCTGTCCGGACCTCTCTTCATCAATGATGCAGTCTCTTTCCTCAGAAAAACATTTAATCCATTTGCACACTGCCATTTTCTTCATGACCTCATCCCTATAAATTTGGACTAACATGTCCCTGATTTCACTTCCACTCTTGTCAAGTGTAACAAGAAATTTAATGTTTGTTCATTGTTCTAATTCAAGCTCTAATGTTCTCACAATGGCACACAAAAACATGCAATAATGAAGGCCATTCAGCAAGATACTGCTGCACATCAACATGAACGCAGCTGTGAGACACTGATAGGCCAAGGCTATGAAACCCTACCAAGTTGTCTGTACAGTGCAGCTAACTAAGCGCATGGTGGCAAATTTGTGAATTTAATTGTCAGACCCTGTACACTTGTGTCCACAGTGGGGATAGTAACACCAACGGGACTACACACCTGAGAACCAGGAGCTGAGGACTTCACTCCTCCAGAAGAAATCCCATAATGTAACAGGTCAATTTCTTGCTCAGGATTATATCTCCCACACATAATGGGCCTTAGTATTTGCTGAATGAACAAATGAATGAGTGATGTGATGGGCAGTGCTATCTTTGTTAGTCCTTTTCCAATTTTTCCACAGTTGGACAATTTCCACTCTGTCAATAAGGCTGCAGTTAACAGTTTTACTTTTTGAACATACTTTCACTATCAAGAGCCACTGGTGAGATGAAATGGGTACAATTCTGGAAACCTAGCTCATGGAAATCAAACACTCACTTGATGGAGGGGACCGTCATGTGTTTGAGCTGGTTCCTGAGATCCTGAAAGTTTAATCCTTCAGGTCTTGGGCAAGCCTTAATCAAATTCAGTACCTGAAAATTCAAATTAGAAAGATTTAACAACTACTTTGAATCAGCTCCCTTGTGGAGACCTGAGTCCTTTTATAAAAGAAATGAGACACATACTTAGCCCCAGATCATTCAGGAAGTAATGCAATTCAGACTATGTTTTGCACTTGCGTGGGTTTACCTGGTTCTGGGCTACAGTGAGGCCATTTGCAGGTATGAAGCTATTGCCACTGAAGCTCCCTGCTTCGCTCATTCCTAGGTTGTTGACAGGTGCTCTTCCTGCTGAGGGCTGAATTAAGTTCACAACATGAGAAGATCCACTAAGTTAGACATGGTTATTCACATAGCTTGTTAATAATAAGCAGATAAGAAAAAATAAATTAAATAGACTGTTTCCAGTAATAACTGCTGACACTGGAAGGGACAATTATTGTTTAATGAGTATTTCACAGGAAAGTATAGTAACTCTCTGAAGCATATGATATCAAAAAGAGAGAAAGATACCCTTGGCTCTTTTTCTTTGTGATGTGACAGGAACCAGAGGAAAATTAGCACTGAGAAGAAAATTACCCAGAGACCTGCCATAATGGTATCCCGGGGGCACAATCACTCACACGTCCATTGAGTGTCATCTAGGCATGAAGCACTACAGGGAGAGAAAAGGAGACACAGTCCCAGCATCCTTTCTCTCTTTCTTTTTTTTTTTTTTTTGGTGAGTGAGAGTCTCACTATGTTGCCTAGGTTGGAGTGCAGTGGCACAATCATGACACCGGCAGCCTCTACCTGCTGGGCTCTGGTGATTCTTTTGCCTCAGACTTCTAAGTAGCTGGGATAACAGGTGTGTGCTGCCATGCCTGGCTAATTTTTTTATTTATTATAGAGATGAGGTCTTGCCAAGTTGCTCAGGCTGGTCTCAAAGCCCTGGGCTCAGGCAAGCCTCTCACCTCTGCCTGCAATTACAGGCATGAGCCACTGCGCCTGACCTTTCCTTTCCTAATCTCCAAATATCTTAAGATAATACCCATATAATTACTGTTTTCATTTCCTTTCTCCTTAGTCACTCCTCAGTCCACCATAATTTGGATTCTCCCCAAATACACTTTTGAAACTTTTCTCACAAAGTCACCAATAACTTTTCTTATTTTTTTTAAGTAAAAAGATTTGTATTAGAAGCATTTAGAATGTCAACAAAACAGCTTCAACTTTTTTCTTTTGGCAATTAGAGTGGTATTCAGTTGACAGAACAATGATTTTGTATAAGCTGCATCAGAAACAACTGAAGATGAGAGGTTATCATCCCATATATAACTAAATTTGTGCTGTGTACCAACAAGAACCTGCTCTAAAGTTCAATGCCAATTCACAATCTCTGTACTGTACCAGGCAAAGCCAGCAGCTACTGAAAATCCCACCAGGACAGGGTTATCTAAAGATACATTTAGTAAT